TTTTTTTTTGGTCTTTTTGAGACAGGGTCTCCCTGTAGCCCCAGCTGTCCTGAACTCACTATGTAGACCAGGCTGGCCTTGAACTCACAGAGATCCGCCTGCCTCTGCCTCCCGAGTGCGGAGACTAAGGCCTGCGCTACCACACCTGGCCCCATCCTTTTTCTTTGTATATTTTATTTGCTTTTGTTTTTTGAGCCAGAGACTTCCTTTGTAACTCTAGCTAGCCTGGAAGGCCTATGTAAACCAGGCTGGCCTCAACTTGTGTACCTCCCAGTGCTAGGATTACAGGTGTGGGCCACCACTGGGTCTTCCCATCTTTGCTCAGCAAACATCTCTTTAGCTTGGCTGCTCAGACCATGTCAGCTGAGCTGCACCTGTGGGTGGGGCATCTTGGCACTCACTGCCCTTATCTGTATAGCCCAGACTGTACTATGCAGTCTAAGGAAGATGACCTTGACCTTCTATCTTCCTTCCTCTTCCTCCTACCTCCTGAGTGTGGGGATTACAAAGTGCACCAGGACCACCTACAGTTTTATTTTGTTTGTTTTTGGTTTTTTTGGGACAGGGTCTCTCTGTAGCCCCAGTTGGCCTGGAACTCACTATGTAGACTAGGCTGACCTTGAACTCACAGAGATCTGCCTGCTTCTGCCTCCCAGGTGCTGGAATTAAAGGCCTGCACCACCATGCCTGGCTACTGCCCACAGTTTATGCAGTGCTGTGGATGGAACACGTGCTTCACCAAGTCCCCCCACCCCCAGACTGGATTCTTCTTGGTTGTTTTTTTTGTTTGTTTTTGGTGCTGGGGATTGAACCCCGGGCCTAGTGCATGCTAGGCAAACATTCCATCAATGGAACTACATCCCCAGTCCCCGCTTGTCTGGATTCCTATATCCCCTTACTCTCCATTTCTGCAGTTGTTCTTTTGGACATTTATTCCCTTCTCGGTCACCTCATCAGTGATGCTGAAACTCTGAGAACAGAGGCTCTGCTGTCCCTTGTGGCAGCTCTAGTCTAGACCTTAGTGTTGAGTGTCTGCTTGAAGTAGGTTGGACAAACAAATGAGGGAAGGGGAATGCAGGATGGCTCAGAGGGTAAAGGTGCTTGTTGCACAAGCCTGATGAGCTGAGTTCAATGCCTGGAACCCAAAATGGAAGGAGGGAACTAACTCCCACAAGTTGTCCTCTGCCTCCATTTGCGCACCCCCATGCCACATAGGCAACACATACATACAATAACAATAATAATGATAATAATAATAATGAAGGAAGGAATGAACATGAATGCTGTGCCCATCCATCTGGTACTGGGAGGCCTTTTCATGTGGAAAACACAGTGCTGGTCCAGTAGACCTCTGTCTATTCCACACTGATGTCCTCTGGCCACAGCACAGATTAGAGAGCCCTGTGTCCTGAGGCCTGGATTGAATGAGATCAAGGGCTTCTGGGTATGAACATGGGGCTCACCCCACTCTAAGCATAAGGCTATCTGGGCTGAGTTGTCCACACAGTAGAGAATGCCTGACTCAGAAACCTGTGGCTGGCCCTATAGTTGGTTCTGTCCCTGAAGGCCTGGCCTGAGAGCCCATGGTAGGCCCTATGATTGGTCTCTGAAGGCCTGGGAGTTCATGCCTGGTCCTGTCTCTGAAGACCTGGCCCTGTTCCAGTCTTGTTACCTACCAAAGGATGCCCTGATGAGGAATGGGTAGAAACATGCATTTGCACATGACAAAAACAGACTGCACAGCCACCCACTGGTGAAAAGAACTACTTCTGCTCCTTTGTGCTCTTTCCTCAAGTGATTCTGTTGATAGCTTCCTGGTGAGAGAATCTAGTCTCTTTCTCCTGCCAGCTGTGTGACTTTTTGACTATTTAACTTCTCTGGGCCTCAATTTTTTCATCTGTAAAATTGAGATATAATAGCAAGTTCCCTATTGTGATGGTTAATATTGTCAAGTTGACGATATCTAAAATTACCTAAGAGACAAACCCTCTGGTCATATCTGTGAAGGAATTTCTAGATTGGGTTGAGGTGGGACAACCCTTCCCAAATGTGGGCAGCACTGTTCCATGGGTTGTAGTCCCCCTTGGACTGAATAAAAGATAAACCAAGCTGAGCACTAGTATTCCTCTCTCTCTGCTTCCTGACTGGATGCAATGTGAACCAGCTGCCTCATACTTCTGCTGCCATGATTTCTCCACCATGATGAACTGTACCTCAAACTGTGAGCCCCAATACACCCATTTTTAAGTTGATTTTGTCAGCTATTTTGTCATAGAAATATGAAAAGTATGTTGTTAGGAGTAAATTTGATAATATCTGGAGAACACTACTGGTCTATGGTAAGGGATGGGCTACATTGTTATATTTGTTACTAATGTGCCTTTGGGTGTCATGCATGCACACACCCTCCCACTGGTTGTAAAGTCCCAGATACTAACAGTAGGCTATTCTGCATCTTCCTTGTACTCGAAGTGCAATAGAGAGCTCTGCATTGGAACACATGGATATTTAACTGTGTTGACAGCTTTCCCTTTATTCTCCCATGGGACAGCTACATGGTGACCTATGGATTTTTCCATCTTGGCAGACTTTCAGATCTTTCTGAGGTTTGGTGCAACCTCTGTGGATTATGATCTAGCATTATGGACCTGCATCATTGTTTTGGTGATGGGGCCTCAAGTGTACTAAGTGTGCATTCTACAAACTAAGCTGTGGAATTCTATGCACAATCTCTGGTGCAGTTATCCTCACCCTATCTAGTCCCCAGTCCTGGGACATCTGCCATGTCACAGGTTCTCAGGGAGACTTTTTTTTTTTTTTTAAATACAGGGTCTCCCTGTAACCCCAGCACAGGGAGACTTTTTATTATTTTTGTTATTTTAAAAAATCTTGTGTATGCCAGGCATGTGTGGATGCACACGCTTTTAATCTCAGGGAAGAGGCAGGTGGACCTCTGTAAGATTGAGACAGAGATCTGTCTGCCTCTGCCTCTCAAGTGCTGGGGATTAAAGGCATGTGCCACCATGCCTGGCCAAGATTTTTAAAAAAATATTTGCCACCACACTGGGATTTTTTTTTTTTTTTAATGTGTAGGACTGTTTGGCTTGCATGCATGTAAGTATACCACAGGCATGCAATGGCCATAGAGGCCAGAAGAGGACATCAGATCCCCTGGAACTGGAGTTAAGGTTGTTAGCCACCATGTGGATGCTGGGAACCAAACTAGGATCCTTTATGAGATCAGCCAGTATTCTTAACTGCTGAGTCATCTCTTCAGGCCTGGGATTATTTTTATTTAATATATTTAAT